CGTGAAGTGGGCCATGCCAGATTGGATCACAGCACCCATCAGCACATGTGAAATCCAGTGGGGCAGTGTGAGTTCTATAGGGGGGCTGCAGGGGACTCCCTGCTATCCACCATTCTTTCCACTGGCAAACATGAAAAGTGGGATAGGGGACAGACCAGGCCAGGCAGGGTTATAACATCTCCATGTTAACTGGGTTAGGGGGAGAACCAGACTGAGCTAATGAACTGTGCGCACTAAGGCATGCAGGAGCCAGAGTAAGAGCAGGCTGGCTGGGTTTTGCTGCAGCATCAGCTGACAAGTGCTGGGACTGGGAGCAAATCCTGTCAAGCTAGACTGCAGAAGCACTTGGAGGACACAAGATCTGGGAACACAGTAGGGAAGCCTGGGGACCTCTCTGATGAGTTGCAATTCCCACTGGTGAGCATGAGAACCAGGGCTGCAGGAGAGTCTGGCTAGACAGTGGGTGGCACCTGCCAGCATGAGTATGTGTTGAATAGTGGGGTCAGTTGGGTCGAGCTAGGTTTCAACACTTATGGATGTGTATGAGAGCTGAATGGGACGTGGGACAGACTGGAATAGTCTGCAGCACATACTGGCAAGTACAGGAACCAGGGCTGGGAGCGGTCCTGGTGGGGATAATTGGGAGTTACTCTAACTAGGCTGCAGTTCCTGCTGCTGTGCTTGAGGACTGAGTATGAGTAGTGTTGGGCTGAGCCATAGCACCCACTGGTTTATGTAAGAGATGGGGCTGGAAACAGAACTAACTCAGCAATTGCAGCTACTAGTGTGTGCGTAGGCAGAAGTGGGTGACGGGCTGAATCGAGCCCTGTACTGGTAAGCATACACAAGAGTCACCTTTGGGATCACTTCAGATGAGGTTTCTTTGGTGATTCCCCCAAACTAAACCAATGGACTCAGAACTCCAACCATGGGGACAATCACAGGTCCTGTGATCTGATAGCGGAGTGCATGTGTCAGAACTGGGCTTCCTCAGTGGCTAAGACGGAGCAGTGGACAACACACCCAGATGCACAAGGAGGATATGGCAGCCCATTGGGGCCTGTAGAGGACATCAGTGCCACAGCAGAGGAAGGAGGGCAGAAAAAATTGACCAACTACCCCAACCAAGCACTGACAGCAAATATCAGGGCGAACAGAGACTCTAAGGTAGTCTAAGTCAGCCAATGGACCTTGGAAGGATTTCCTTATCCTTCAAGTGGCAAGATCAGCAGCATTTCAGAACTGTTGAAACCACCTGAGCAGTACCTCGGAGCATGCTCCACACTGGGGACCCTGGGACAACATAGGGTGGCTATTTCTCACCTCTCGTACTGAGGCAGTTGAGAGGCTGGGTGAGGTTTTCCCCCTTATTTCACCCCTTTCCCCAGATTACAGGAAGAAGAAAAAGAAAATTTGTAAACAATAGTCTCACCCACTTTCCCATAATCCTTGACCTTTCCCACTCTAAATAATTATGTGAACATCATCAAAAATGAAATTAAAAAAAAGAATGGCTGCAGAGTTGTAACTGTGTTGCATAAATAAGCCACCTTTACTGATGTCAGGCAGGTGACAGAGGGCTGGATTTCTGCATGTGGCAGCATCCTGTCACCTGCCCAGATCTCAGAACCTCCCTGAGCAGGAGGTGATCTCACTTCAAGCCAAGGCTCTACTAGATCAACTTTCCTCATAAGGAAAAACATGATGCCCACACAAAATCAAGATGAGGATCGTATTATCTGTATTGAACATAAAATGTGAGCAGATTTAACTGCTTATCTAGCCCTGCTCAGACACTGTTGAAATGTTTTACTTGTGTTAGCCATAGTTTGGAGAGCAGAGGACTGCCAGCAGTCTCTGCTCGGTCATTGCCCTCAAACGCACACAGCTTCCTTCGGCCAAAGACCCACAAAGGAGCATTCAGCTCCCGCCGCGTGAGTGCAAAGCCACGGCCAAGGTTCCCACCGCGTGAGTGCAAAGCCACGGCCAAGGCTAAGGGGCCAGATGTGAACTCCGGGCCCTACTGGAAGATACCACAAATAGCTCAGCTTATGGCTTCATTCTGGAGTTTCCACCAACAGAACTGAAAAGTTTCCTCTAAGCGAGACACATCAGCAAAACTGTTCACTGCACTTTCCTCCAGTTGTTGTCTTTCTTGTTTTTTTTTTTTTCTAAAAACAGATTTTAAAGAAACTTCATAGATCAGAATCCAGAATTTACTATGTGGGCTGATTACCTATTTTATGAGCATTTATCTTTTATCAGCAACACAAACCGATTTTAAACATGTAACCATGAAAAACGGCATCTTGGTAGCACCTATTTTTAAAAATGAAATTATAAAACATTATTAATCTAACTTAACATGTCTAAGTGTAAAGTATTCATGAAGTAACGTGAAATAAATCCAAGCAAATCTCACTTGGGAAAGGAGAACACTAAGGCGTACTGACATCTTTAAAACAAACTGATCAAAGAAAAGAGTCCTCAGGAAACTTCTTTTTCAAACTATTTTTTTCAAACAAATACGACACTCACACTTTCAAATCAACCTGAAGAGCCAGCGGCTCCCAACCCTGCCAACCCGAGGGCAGCTGCCGGCCAATCTGTAGCTGAGGCTGGCACTGCGGGGAGCAGCGTCCACCAGCCCCTTCCGCCAGAACCAGGCAGGAGGCAGAGGCCTGGCCAGCAGGACAGGCCACGTGATGGTCATGTGCTATGAAGTAAAAGCTGGGTTACAGCTTGGGGAATCCAAGCGTCACTCACTTTTGGCAAAGCGCACTTTTCTGGCTCAAAAGAAAAATGCATTAAGAGGGCGTTTGGACTCTCGGAGAAAATGCTTTCGGCAGACACAGACACAGACCAGTATGACAGAATCTGGGTGGGGTCGACACCGGCTGGTAAGCCTGGGGCCTTTAAGCCCTAAATAAAAGACAACTAACTCAGTGAAAACATTCAACTCACTGAAAAGCATGCAAGTTCAGTTCTAAGTCTTTTTAAAAAGGCTTTTTAAATATAGAATATTTAAAGAAAAAATTCCCACCAAAAAAATACAATACATAAATGAGCAGGGCTTCAAATTAAATAGACATGATGGGCATTTAGCCTCCCACTCACAACACCAGGTAAGACACCAGGGTGCCAATCAGAGCACACGGGACTCAATAACCGGCTCTGTTTCTGACTCCAGATTCCTGCCAGCCCAGTGCAGACCCTGGAGCAGGAGGCGACAGCTCAAGTGATGGGGGTCCTGTCACCAATGTGGGACACCTAGCTAAAGTTCCTTGGCTCCCAGCCTCAGTCTAACCCAGTAGCAGCGACTGTAGGCATTTGGGGGGGTGAACCAGTAGAAGAGGTTCAGAAGAGATTAATATTTATCTCTTGTAAAGAAATAAAAGTGGAAAAAGAAACTGACATAATATTCATGTTTCCAAACTCGGGATATCTTACCAAAACAAGTAAGCAAAATCACAAACCAGCCAAATTTCCTTCACTAATGAAACCAGCTCTCATCAATCAGTGCTATCAAACTGCAGGATTTGCAACAGAAGGAATCTGGATTGGAAGGTGATCTGGGACTCCACCCCAGGCACTCAAACACGAGATGTGAAAATTCCATATGGTTTCCTAACAGCAGTGTCAGCCACTCACCTCTGGACCATACATTTAACAAGATCTTTTTTTCTGCCATTCTAAATTAGTGTTTCATGAGAGAATCACGTTGGGCAGCCCCTCCCATGGTTCCCCCTGGATCCATCCTATTGTTCACACCAAAGACCTGGGCATCATTCATTGTTCATCCTCCTCTATTTGACCTCTTCACGCTCAATCACCTTCTAACTGCCTTGGAAGCCCATCTAGTGTTTTCCGTTACTATGGCAATGTCCCTGGTTTCCCAAGCAAAGTACTGAAAAGTCTCTAGCTTTGCTTCCATGCTCTACCGTGAATTAACTGGGTGAACTCAGAAAATTTGCTCATCAGAATCCTTAAGTCTTTATAAGGACTAAAGAGGGTGATAATAGAGTAATGATGGCAGTAGCCACCTCACAGATTTGTCAAGGAATTTAAAGGAAATGATCAACGTAAAAGTCCCTGAAACTGGAGTCAACAAGCATTCACAAGTTTCACTGAACCACAATCACTCTCCACCTGGGTGTCCGGCCCGATTCCTCTCCGCTCGTTCATGCTTCCAACACTTCAGCCACTGTCTGCTCTGATTCCCGCCCAAATGTAAGCTCTCTGATGGTCAGGATTGGGTCTCCCATACATGAATGAAATAAAAAAATGAATATTAACAGATATACAACAATTACTCTGGGTGACTATTAAGGGCAATGTACTGCTGAGTGTGGTATTTCTCAGAAGTTTAAAAAAAGAGAGAGAAAGATGAGCACAGAACCAGGGTAGCAAAGAATCAATTATGAAAACCGGGAGTTGTCAGAATATTTTAATGTGTAACATGATTTTACTTTTAAGGAACTCACAAATGTTCATCTAGAAAATAACCTATGTGGGCATGGCTTGATCTTAAAAAGATTCACTCAGGCTACTCAGCAATTTATCTTCCACAGTTTTGCAAGCCAGAGATATTTGTTCCTCAAAACAAAGAAACCACCCAACAGTTTCGGAACTGACTCAAGTCTTTTTAATTGAAAGCCATCTGAGTTCTCCCACTGACATCTAAGACCGGCAGTGGATGAGAGGGCGACAAACACATTTCCAACACCGAACCTGCTCCCTCGTAACCGGCAAGAGGACACGCTTTACCTTCGGGCGTCAATGTTTAAAAACAGCAAGAGTTGTTAGGCAGTCCCTGTCTCTTGGTTCTGGTTATAAGAAATCATCCGCTGACTTAACCAATAACAGACCATCCTTAGTTTCGTAGGGTGAATGGAAGTGAGACAACCAAATCAGATTTCACTACAGAACCTCCAGTGACGGTTTTCTGGACCACCTTTGTCAAGCTCTAGGGGGCAGTTCCAGGAAGGGCAGCGGCATACCTGGGCTCCATAGACGCGCTGCATGGCCTGCAGCAGCTGGTTGGTGTGGTCTGTGAGGGTGCCAGCATCCTCCTCAAACACACTCAGCAGAGAGCGAGTCTGTAAGAGAAGAGGGGGAGGTCAAGTGGGAAAGTCACAGAGGGGGCAGAACATACATGAGCACATGGGTGGGCACACACACACATACATGCCCAAATGAGAGGAATGCACCTGCCTCTTCTGATGGTGACACCAGTACGAGATGGTGCCTGGAGCTCTAAGTAATAACTTGTAATCCTTCAGGGTCATAATAAATACAGAGATGGAAAGCCAGGTTTTCAGACCCAGTACAGGAGTCCGGCGGCTAAAATCCTTGCCTTGCACATGCCAGGATCCCATATGGGTGCTGGTTTGCGTCCCGGTGGCCCCACTTTCCATCCAGCTCCCTGCTTATGTCCTGGGAAAGCAGTGGAGCACGGCCCAAAGCGTTGGGACCCTACACCCACATGGGAGATCTGCAAGAAGCTCTTGGCTTATGCAGATTTCCATTTGTGCTCAGTCCTTTCTGATAGAACCCTACCGGGTCTTATGCCGACCTCATACAGACTGCTTCCTGTCCCTAGCCTTGGAGTCTCATATCTGTTCAAAGACCCAGCAGTGCCAAGTCTTAGGTTGTTTTGTCATTGGGAAAATCTTACATGTTGTCACTCTTCCCTCTTAGAATGCTACATTCAAAGTCCATTTTCTTTAGAGATTTCTTTTGTTGCATTTATTACACCAAACTCAGACCTGGAAATTCCATACACCCTGGGCCCACCACCAGCAGCTCTGGGCACAAAACAAGAAAACTAGTTCCCCTTGCTTCAGGATGAACTCCTGAGAGCAGCTGAGCCCGGTTACCAGCAGGCAGGCATTGCCCACCATGCCCTGCACAGCCAGTGACACACAGCAAGCACCAAGGGAACAGCGATAGGTTCAAGGGAACCAGGATCAGGGCGCTCCACAACAGATGCCCCAAACAAGGAAGGGTCTTTCACCACCATGCCTTGCCCAGTGGGAATCTATGCTCCTACACTGACAGTAGCCCCCAAAATGTAATCCATCAGGCAAAGAATGCCGAGTTAATTACAGAGATGCCTGTAATGAGGCAAGAGAAAAAACACTTCACAAAGGATGACTCGTTAATTACAGCCTTGCAAACAAATTTCAAATTCCTTCTATTTTGTCATGTCAGATAAATGGCTGGCGCTGTTCCATGCCCTACCCTGCCCTGCCCGCAGGGGCCTGAGCCACTGCAGGTCTGCATGAGGAGCTGGGTCTGTGCTTTCCCCAGAGTGCCCTCTGGAATGACGGCACTGGAATCCTCACTTCCCTCCACAGGCCCGGGATCCCCCAACAGTAGTGTGTGCTGAATAGACTGGCCTAGGACCTCTAGACCAAACCACCTGCCCCCACAGCAATGGATGGATGCTGTCCAATGGTACTTCCTACCAACAGCAGAATCACAGCACAATGAATACAGAAACTGAAACATGAGTTCTTAACCTGGGACACCCAAATTGAGGCTCTGATACTGATCTCTAGAATTAGCAATGTAAGAACCACCTGCAAAGTACCTATCACTGCCTGACACAGAGACAGTGAAAGAGGCACATTTTGTATATACATAATAAAGGCACGTCAGGATCCCATATGGGTACCAGTTCATGTCCCGGCTGCTCCACTTCCCATCCAGCTCCCTGCTTGTGGCTTGGGAAAACAGTGGAGGATGGCCCAAAGCCTTGAGACCCTGTATCCACATGGGAAACACAAAAGAAGCTCCTTGCAGCTGGCTTAAGATCAGCTCATCTCCGGCTGTTACAACCTCTTGGGAAGTGGATCAGTCGATGGAAGATCTTTCTCTTTGTTTTTCCTTCCCCTTGTAAATCTGCCTTTCCAATAAAAATAAATAAATCTTTCTTTAAAAGTTCATGAAAATGTATACAATGAAATATCTATACATGGATTCCACTTTTTTTTCTTGCGCCAAAATAAATGCTATTTTTCAACTACATTTTTCCATGAAGTTGGGAGGTTCCCTCAATGTGCCGGGTCCTAAGTGTTTCAAATACATGATTTCATTTTAACACTATAGCAACAGTTTCCCACACAATTACCTACAAATGCCATCCAGGGGATGGCATGATGGCACAGTGTGTTAAGCCACAGCATACAATGCTGGTATTCCACATGGATGCCAGTTCCAATCCCAGCTGCTCTACTTCCAATCCAGCTCCCTATTTATGTGCCTGAGAAGTAGTGGAATGCTTCAAAGCTTGAGCTACTGCCCCCATGGGACCTGGCTCCAGCTCCTGGCATCAGTCTGGACCTGTGTGGGCTTTTGTGCCCATATGGGGAAGGAACCAGCGGATGGATGCTCTTTCTCAGTCTATCCTTCTAACTCTGCCTTTCAAAAGTAAAAATAAATATTTTACCAAAAATGTCATCTAAGAGTTAAGGTTCTTTTTTAAAAATCATTGAGCCACTGTCACCAGGCGTGAAACACAGACAGGCACCAACCCACGGGCTCCTTGCAGACCTTCCTGCTTTCCTGGCACCTGGCACTCTAACTCTGGGACAGGTCAGGGTTCTTACTAATGTGTCTAGGGAAATAAGCAGTAACACAAGCAGACTGCAGCTGGTTCACTCTTAAAGAAGCATTACTGATATCCAGCAAGCTAATCCCTATTTACTGCTTTTAGCACTCCTTGGAATGAAATAGCACGAGAGACGAGAAGGAAGATGAAGAGAGAGGCTTTGTACACAGGACCTCCACAAAGAGGGTAGAATGGAAACGAAAGCCACCACTGCACTGCACTGCTATGTGCCAGACCCTGTGCTGGGCGCTGGGCTCTGTCATGTCACGCCTTCCCACAGCTTTATGGCGTAGAAACCAGGAGTGCACTGACCCCATTTTACAGATGATGAAACTGAGGTTCATCAGGGTAAAGAAACGTGTTCAACCTCCCATTGCTGAAAGCAGCAGGGCTGTGACAGGAGCCCAGAACACTGCCACCTGTCCCACTTCCCCCACCGCAGGAGGCTGCATCTGTCAAGGGTAGGGCAGGTCCCTCCAGTCCTGCTGGAGGATGGAGAGGGGCAGGCTTCTTTTTGGTCATCCCACTGCAGTGCTCTCATGTAGGGTGATGGATGGAGAACTTCATCACCAGTGCTTGCTTTCTGCTTTGCTTTGCGCTTTGGGTATGCGACTGGGACGCATTTCAGGACTGGCAAGCAGACTCCTGTCTTCCTTTCCTAACTGAACTTGACAGTGAACACCACTGTAAAAAGACAGGTATATACATATACCTGGACCCTGAAGTACCGTTTGTCTCTTCTCAGCCACATGTACTCAAAACTATGTCTAAAACAACAGTCACCTTCTGGACGCCTGGAAGGAACGAGACCAGGACCAGGCAAAAAACACCCTGCTGTGTCTCCCTTAGGAAGCCACGTACAGATAGTGACACACAGTGATCTAGATGTCCTATATACGCTATTGAGTTCTCACAGCAACTCAATGCACTAAGCTGCTGTTTCAAGCCTAATTTTACACACATCTGCACACGAGCTCAGTGAGACAGTGACCTGCTAAAGGGAAGAGTGGCAGATTTAGAACTGGGATTCCATCACTTCTCTCCCATCTTAACACCCTCAAGAGTCTGAGGGGCCAGAAAACCCAAACACCAAACCCCGTGGATATGGCTGCAGCTCCATATCATCCCTTCGCCTTAAACAAGCTGGGTGTTACCTAATCTATCTGAGATATTTGTGATGGCACTGAGGACTGAAAAACATTTTTAAGTTAAAAGCAAGGTTCTTCTCAGGGGGTGGGTGGCTAGTCTGGCCTTTAAGACACCTGCAGCCTGCGGTGGAGTGCTTGGGTTCAAGTCCCGGTTCTGGCTTGAGTTCCACCAAAGCACATCCCAAGAGGCCGTAGGGGAGACGGCTCAAGGACTTGAACCCTTTCCACCCACAGGGGAGACCTTGTGTTCCACTCCGTGTTCCAGCCCCAGGCCAGTCCTGGCGATTGTGGGTACTTAGGCTCTCTGTGTCTCAAAAATAATCAACAACAACAACAACAAACAAGCAAAGCTCTTGAGCCCATAGTTTGGAGTAGCGTAGAAATGTCTTGGTGGAATCAATGTACTGAGAAAAAGTGCATTATAAACAAGAACACTGGAGCAAAACCCTTGCCCCTGATGGGTGGAATGCAGAAAGCACGCAGGTCGTGTCTGTGGCATCTCCCTTGAGTAAACATAGGGCCTGGCTGGTGGGCGAGGGCTGTTCCCAGCTGGCCGACCCATGTGCCAGCTCAGAACTAAGTCTTTCCTTGCATGGCCTGGTGGTTCAGTTCTGATCTCTGCAAAAGAAACAAATGAAAACAAGCCCCAATCCCTTCAAAAAACAAAACAAAACAAAACAAAAAAACCCACCTGACAGTGCTCTATCTTTGCCTTATCTCTGACGCGTGCTACGGGCTGGAGAACAGAACAAGCCCTGAAGAAGCAGGACTGCGGCAGCTTGGCTCTCCACTCGTGTTCCCATCACACCCGCGTTTGCCGTGTGCCGGGACAGCTCTGCACTGATCTTTCTCCAGAAACGAATGAGCACCAGCAGGAGAGGCCTGGCCCTTGCTTTGCATCACGTTCCCCCAGCTGGGGCAGGCAGAAACTCCCCAATAGCCATGGAAGGCAAATATCCCAATCCCCAAAACACCACGGCTCCCTCATGCCAGGGCGAGGCAGAAGTAAACTGAGAGTACGCCCAAAGTCTAGTCTTACAACCCAGGGTGCAGCCCTGCAAGCTAACAAGGAGGAAATGAATAGATGTGTCGAAGGTCAGTCAACTGCCATTCAGCCCTTCTTGGGTCACTCAGGGCTAAGACAAAAGCTTTTGTGTTCATTTCATCAGTCCTGGGCAAGCAGGTGGCTGAAGCCACCCTCACAGCTACCCTACAGAAAGCCAAAGCAACGAACGACTCATGGGCTTCTGGATCTTTCCCTCTGGGTAAAACCTTTTAGGTCATGCACAGCAGGCAAACAAAGTGTGAGGTCCTCCGCCGAACCTGAGCGGTACCCTGCTTCTGGCAGTCAGCTTGGCTTCCAAACACGCGGACGCCTGACTCATTTTCAGAGAACTAACTGTAGAAACACGGCTTGGAGCTGATCTATGTCAGGCATTTGAAACAGCACCTGGCACATAAAATCCACAGGCCCAGGCACTGGTTGTTTTAATTCTTCCCACAGAAAATGAAGGCGCAGCACAGCATTCCTTCCAGCTCCGAGTCTAGGAACCTGCTTGGGAGCCAAGCTGCTCCAGGCCGGGGCCAGGCTGGGAGGAGCAGTGAGAATCTTAATATGAGAGCTTATGCTCCACTCAACAGCCATATCAAGCATGCCCGCAGGGGATGGTCAAGGGTCAAGAGCAAGGGCAAAGGCAGTCCCTTACACAAAAAAGGAATATGACAAAGAGACATGACAATGCCCACGGAGTCATGAAGGCCAAGCTCAAAGCTATCCCTAAGTGGGCAGGGTGGACTATCTTGGCTTCCACAGCACCTTCAGGATCACCCGTGCTGACAGAATTCTGAGAGACCTGGGCCAGCCACAGCATGGGGGTCTGGGGACCTGTCTCAACCTTGCAAGAAGTTTCAGGAATGGAGTTTGAACCTGAGTCTCTGAGTTAGAACACACAACCCAGGACAGACCGCTCACGTCCTCATGGCAGAGTAAATCCTCCAGGCATAGATGCACCCATGGGAGCCTCCAAGTAAAGCCAATGTGGCAATCTCTCTTACCTGGTCCAGCCATCACCACGTCTGGTGAGGAAAACAGTATTTCTGCGCACCTCAGTAATGCCCCAACTACAGAGCCAACACAACCCTCCTTCACAGCGACTGTTAGAAACTTTATTTGGGGGCTGGCATTGTGGCAGAGCAGGTAAAGCTGCCACTGGCGTTGCCAGCATCCTATATGGTCACTGGTTTGCATCCTTAACTGCTCCACTTCCAATCCAACTCCCTGCTGATGGCCTGCGAAAGCAGAAAAAGTTTTTGAGGCCCTGCATTCATGTGGGAGACCAGAAGGAAGCTCCTGGGTTCTGGCTTCGGCCTGGCCCAGCCCTGGAAGTTGCAGCCATTTAGGGAGTGAACCAGCAGATGGAAGACCGCCCCCCCCCCCTTGCAGCTCTCCCTCTCTGTACCTCCACCTTTCAAATAAATATTTAAAAAAAAAACCCTTCATTCTATAATGTCCAGACCCCGTAGAATAGGTATAGGTGAGTAAAACACCTATGCCCTAGCTTTTATTTAGTCCATCAGCGTCCCACAAAGCAGGCCTTGGAGAAGTCGGGCAGTTTAGTGGATATAGACCTGCAAAAAGAAACAAAGATCACAGCTGCTCTCCATCCCCTCTGAGGACCAGCGGGCCAAGGGCAGGGCCACCTCTGCAGGTGGAGGAGGCAAGGGCATCTGCCGCTGACCCTAGGAAGCCCGATCCACTCCAGAGCTAAAGGCACCCGAACCCAACAGGTCAGGGGCGACCTGCCAGGGCGAAAGGGCCCTACTGTGCTGGGAGTTGTCCTCAGTCGCTAGAAAGTAAAGGCAGAGATGATAATTCAATAACCCACGTTTGCAAAGACAGGAGGACAGATCAGAGGCTGGGGGACAGGGGACGGACATGTGAAAGAAACCAAAGATCCGAGGACAGGCTCGGAATTAGGACCCATGGGCGTTCCGCTGTTGCCAACAAGAACGCGATAAATGGGACAAGCAGCGCAATCTCCTCTTGGCAAGTGGCACGCCAGCGCCAAAGGGAGGCCTGGGATCGCTGGGCCCTGAATCCACCCGGTCTCCTGACCTAAGCAACACAGCAGCCCCAAGATCTCTAAATCTAGACCAGACGCCGCCGCCAACTTCACCCGGATTCCTTGACAAGGCTTACACCCCTGTCCTGCAGCGGACCAAACGAAGGGTGCCACCCGCTCAGGCGCCCTAAGGGATGGAGCTGGACTTGTGACCCCACAGCTCAGTTTCAGCTGACTTGTGGGAAGGGGGTCACGATGCCCGTCCGCCTTCCTCCGCGGGCGTACCTGAGGGCTGTCCTGCAACGCCTCCTCCAGCAGGAGCTTGTCCACGGCGGGCATGGCGCGGCTGGGCCGAGGGCCGGACGGGAGGACGCAAGGCGGGAGGCGCGGCGGCCGAGGGTGTGCAGGACTCAGGCGACGCGGCGGACGCTCCGTGCCCGAGGTGGCCACGCGCGCGCCCACGCCTCCACGCCTGCCCAGTGCTGGCCGCCGCCGCTGCCAGCCCGTCCGCCTCCCAGCCCAGCCCAGCCCCCGGCCGGCCGGATCAACAGGATGTGTGGCGAGTGCACCACCGGGACACCGGAAGTGTGGCGGGATCCGGCAGGCTCGCCGGAAGTGTGGCTGCCCCGCTTCCACCCACGCGCGAAGCCTCGCGGAGGGCATTCCTGAGGTGTTGGGGCTGCAGTTATGCAAGTCAGCTGGTAGTCTGAGTGAAAAGCCAAGGTAGGAAACTCTAGGAAGAAAAGATCCGGCGTTATCTACTTGCGGCTGCTCCCAGAGCCTGTTGAGTGGAAGGACTTAGGAACGAACAGATTTTGCGGCTGTTACTCTCGCCACTTTAACCAAGATAGTCCTACTGTTGGCACACTACTTTGTAGCGATAAAAATCTTAATGCTAAAAAAAAAAAAATCTTAGTGCTACCGAAACAGCTCTGAGAGCAGAGAGGTCACCAAAGCCTACTTAAAAAAAAAAAAATTATCCTCTGTAATACTCAAAAATAATCATTTTGGGGGTCACAGCCATTTGTTTAGGCAATATAATTAGGGCTTATCCTTCTGGTATGTTCTAGTCTGTCATTTGGAGGAATTTCGTAACTGCGTTTCTGGAATTGCAAAGGATGATCCTGTTCAGTGTTGTCCTCGAAGATGAGGAAGTGGGACCGCAAAGGGCTTCATGATTTGATGAGGTCAGTGAAAGCCGGAATAACAGATGGAGGAAGGGAAGCGGGGGGGAAGCATGGCAGGTGGAAACAGACAATGCTTCCTGTCAGAGCAAGGAATTCTGATGGTCTTTCTTGCAGGATTCTGGATAACTCGGTGCCAGTCCATCGTGAGACATTTTACGGCTCCCACCTGCCTCACTTCTCCACCATGTATTTTCCTTCACTTCAGGGGAACCATAATCACCAAAGTTCTCCATTTTCCTGTATTTCCTACCAAGTACAATTCAGTTACGTTCACTTCCCATTGCTGTTAACCTTCCAGACTCTTTCCCAAGATCCTGTTCTTCAAGGTAGTGTCTCCCACACTTCCGTTTCCCTGATTGTCAAGAGTAGTGGGACAATGTGATTACACTAAGGAAAACAAATGCATATGTTTTAACGTGAATAAATGTTAAGAGGAGATATGAACCCTCAAAAGGGCTGAGACACCTGTTAAGAGGGTTGGTTTCCTGTGTCAGGCCCTCAGGTGGAGAAGGAATCCTGAGACTGAAGGCTGAAGGAAAAAAAAAAAATTCAGTGTGGGAATAACGGCTCAGGGAGAGGGAGTTTAGGCAGGTGGTGAAAGGCTCCAGGGGCCCACACTGGAGGATCTGGCTTTGGGTCCTGGCTCCAGCTTCCTGCAGTGCAGACCTTAGGAGGCAAGAGTGTGGCCCAAGGAATTGGATTCCTGCCACCCACATGGGAGACCGGAATTGTGCTCCCACATGCCAGCTTCAGTCCTAGCCTAGCCGTGGCTTTGGAGGCATATAGGAAGTGAATCAGTGAATAGGAGCTATCCCTTCTTATTCCCGCCTTACAGAGAAGTAATTGTTAACAATTTCATCTGGAACTCTTAAAATTGTTGTGAGGAAAGATCTTGGACATCCCCTTAATAGCAGCTAAAATTTCTGGGCAGCAGAGAGGTCAGTGATGTGAGAGATATGGAGGTGGACTGTGTGGGGCAGTCATGGCATCTGGGGAGAGAGGTAGAGAGGGTGGGGTAAGGTCATGGGGAACCCTGTGGTCCTGCAATCTTTGGCTCATTGAAGACTACTGGGGGAAGGGCATAGGAAGCCATCAAGATGTACCCAGGCGAGGGCCAGGTCTGAGAAAATCCGGGGGTTTGAAAGAGAGCAGAGTGGGGGCACAACCGCCAAGGGTCCTCTGGCTCAGGTGACCCACTTGGAGGAGATGCTGTCCCGTGGGGCTGGGGTAGGCAAGGTTCTTTACTGGTAGTGCCCCTTCTTCTGCTTCCTCTTCTGGCCAAACCATTACCTTCAAATTAATTAATGTGACTTTTAGTGAAGACTTCATTTCCTCCTTCCCCACGCACCCCAACCGAGGACAGTATGTCCTCTTTTCCTTCAGTATGCTTCCATAGTACTTGTCTAGGTTGTTCTAGAACAGCACCTCTCATTGCCAACCCCCCCCCCCAACCTTCTACCTGGAGTGAGCAGGAACTTATTTGCTTCTGTAATGATAGTGCCTAGGACATTACCTAGCAACTGTTTGCTGCTTAATGAATACTTATGAAAACATAATGTAATTATAACTCACCCATGATTAGCACTCCAGAATTTCAGAAATGTCTTCATGAGCACTCTGCTTTCATTTGACACCAGAATGCTGTGAGATGCTGTCAGTCTCATCCACTCACCCTTCTCGAGTTCTGAACTCAGCTGGAGCTGGACTCCGGCACTTTCCCCATGAGCCTCTAACAAATTTTTGAATCTCTGTCCAAACTTCACTTCTGTGGTCAGTGACCTTCAGCTTCATCAATGAAGCATGTACTCTCTTCCAAGCATTTTTTTAAAGATTTATTTTATTTTTATTACAAAGTCAGATATACAGAGAGCAGGAAAGACAGAGAGGAAGATCTTCCGTCCAATGATTCACTCCCCAAGTGACCGCAACAGCCGGTGCTGTCCTGATCCGAAGCCAGGAACCAGGAACTTCCTCCAGGTCTCCCATGTGGGTGCAGGACCCAAGGTGTTGGACCATCCTGGACTGCTTTCCCAGGCCACAAGCAGGGAACTGGATGGGAAGTGGAGCTGCCGGGATCAGAACCAGTGCCCATATGGGATCCCGGCGCCTCCAAGGCAAGTACTTCAGCCACCAAGCCACCGTGCTGGGCCCCCAAGCATGGAGTTAAGGCACTGGAAATTCAGTAATGTAAGAGACTTGGGCTTCCGGCCTTTAAGAAAGCCCCACCTAATGATGGCAGGTAATTAAGGAGTTGAGTGTTCCCGTAAGGGGTGGCACACAGGATGCAAGGGAGCCATGACAGAGCAATCACAGGTAAAGGCTGGCATTTCTGGGAACCAGGTCGGGGCGTGGGGGCAGGAAGGACAGTGGCTATCATCAACCAGTTGGTCTTGCTTGTGGTCTTGCTTGCCATGTTGATGTGTCTGTGAATCATTGTAAGTATGAGTGAAATCAATGTTAGTGATTATGTCTCTGTGGTCTATTTAATGTAAAGCGTTTTGAACGATGCTTCAGGAAAGAAAGCTTCAAAGAAAAATGCCTCTGACAATGGCAATTTCAATACAAGAATCCATGGAATCCTACCTTGCTGGAAGAAGTTAATACTGCCATTAACTCTAATTCAAAGGCCACAAATAATGTTCACTGGCATTTCTTAGTACCTGAATATTCATGTTAGTACTTGGTATTTCATAAATAACGTAAAATTTTGTGTTAAGAATAGCTTATAATCTAGGAATTCCTGAGATTTTATTAAGATATTCTGGATTGTGTCTGTTAGGATCACATTTTGCTGTGTCTAATAAGAAAAAAAAGTGGCATCTGACACCTGATAGCAGTTTACTTTTCTGTCCTGTTCAGGAATTTGGAGGTAATGAGTCCAGGGTTAGCAAGGCTCTGGTATTGGTCACAGATTCTTTCTATCCTGTGGGCTGGTTTCTCTTCACAAAGTCACTGTGTGACACAAGACAGCTGCTGGCCATCTAATCATTAAGCTAGCATTCCAACCAACAGAAAGCTGAAAGCCACAGAGAAGGACCCATTTCTACCAGAAGCAGCATGCACAACTTCTGCTCACATCCCATCCCATGTACCAGAACTTATTTATTTGTTTAAGATCTATGTATTTATTTGAAAGGCAGTTAGAGAGCGAGAAACGGAGAGACAGGCACATATTCCATCTGATTTACTTCTCCAAATGGCTACAACAGCCAGGGTTGGGCCAGGCTGAATCTGGGAGTCAGGAGCTTCATCCAGGTCCCCATGTGAATGCAGGGCCACGAGCTCCTGGCCCATCTTCCTCTGCTTCCCCACTCACATTAGCAGGGAGCTAGATCAGAAGTGGAATAGGTGGGACTCACATATGGGAGGCTGGCATTGCAGGCAGTAGCTTAACCAGGAGCACTACAATACCAGCCACAACCAGAACTTATTATACATCTCATGAAACCAGAACTTATCATATGACCACACGTAGCCATACAGGAAGCTGGAAAGTTGACCCTTTTCCATATTTTGTATGCTCATTTGAGAGCCATGAGTTATTCTAAAACATTCTAAAACATGGTAAGAACATAAAATGATGTAGTCCCTGTGAAAAACGAACAGCTCCTCAAAAATTTAAATATGCAGTTGCCATCTGACTAAATAAATCCCCCTAAGTGTCTTCCCAAGAGAATGGAAAGCATCTGTTCACTCACAGACTTGCACACCAGTGTCCGTAGGAGCACTATTGATGGCAGCCTGAAGGTGAGAAGCAGCCCATTGTCCGGGAACTAACAGACAAACAAAAGGTGACATTGTGATATGGCCAAACAATGAAATCTTGTTTGACAGTGAAAAGAATGTGGTTGAACCTTAGAAGCCAAAGGAAAGAAACTAAACGTAAGAGGGCAAGTTTGTGACTCCAGCTTTGGGACTAATCCAGGATTAGCAAATCCATAAAGACAGAAAGTAGAACAGTCGTTGTTAGGAGCTGGAGGGAGAAGGGAATTGGGAGCAGTTGCTAACAGGAATGGGTTGTTTGTCATGGGTGATGGAATGTTCTGGAATTAGTAGTAGGAGTTACACAATTTAGTGAATATCGTAGAGGACATGCAGTCGTATACTTCAAAATTATGAATTTGGGGTGGGTCCTTACACCACTGGCTTAGTCCCTGGTTAAGATGTCTGTGTGTCACATTGGAATACTTAGGCTCGTGTACTTCCTGTTCATGTAGGAGCAGTGGTGGGTAGTTGGGTCCCTGCCATTCATGGGAGACCCAGATTGACTTCCTAGGTCCTGGCTTCAACTTGGCCCTACCAGAGACCATTGTGAATGTA